AGCACAGGTAGGATTTTGGTTCAAAATCTTCAAACACTAGTAACTGTGAGTTATGAATGATAAATCCGAAAGTGAGAGTAATGGTTTCCTCTGTTGTTCTGCTTTGCATAGAAACCAAACCCAGATGTTTTATGCCTAGCAGAACCAGTACGACCATAAAAAGGCCGACATTATTACTCTCCCACATGCTACAATAAAGCTGGCATGTTTGGAGTCTAAGATCTTGTTTCATCACAATCATCCTCTTGGAGAACATTTTATAATTGTGCACTGCATGGCATGGGGGTTATTTCATTTGCCAGAATCCTCAAGGATTGAAATACATAGATTTGTTTTTTAAGCTGACCACACCCTGGTCGAAATTTGACCAGTATGTTGCCTAGTCGGCACCTCCATTCGACAAAACTCGACTTTGAAATCAACATTTGAAGGCGCCCTTCTGAAAATTCTCAGCCGAACTGTGACTGCAGCCAGTCAGCTGACATACATGCTGTTTGCGTTTGCTGAACACGAAAAAAACATATTGGGGTCTATTTATAAACTATTTGCAGGGCAGTTCACCCTTCTAATATTTGTGAACAATCGTTCTGTGTGTATATATGCCAAAACAAATGTTATTTTGTTGTTTCTTTACAGGCTATTGTATTTTCAAATGTTTTCCATGTAGTATTGCATTATGGCCACTAGATGGCTCATAGAATATAAAATACATATTTCGTTTAGTACCATTTAGAGGCCCTAAAGCTAATATTACATGAAAACATTTCCTTAAAATATTAATAAACATTTGTGCAAATATTGCACAGCATAAAAATTGCAACTAGCTTTTTTTTTTTTTTATTCTACAGGGTCTCTGCTTTTAGAACATATATAATTGTTTGTGTGTTTTAGGCAGTGTTCTTGATAAAAATTCAGATTTTAACGCGTGTGAAAATTCTTTAGAAATTGCTTCGGTAGTCAAGTGGTTAAAGCTGAAATATACAGGTGAAACTCGGATAATTAGAATATCGTGCAAAAGTAATTGCAGTAATTGCTGCAAAAGGGGCCCAAACCAAGTACTGAGTACATATGCATGCTTGTACTTTTCAGAGGTCCGATATTGTTGATGTACAATCCTTGTTTTATTGATTGCATGTAATAATCTACTTTTTTGAGATTGTGGATTTGGGGTTCTTGGGGTTTTCATGAGCTGTAAGCCATAATCATCACAATTATGACAAATCACGGCTTGAACAATCTTGCTTTGCATGTAATGAGTCTCTCTCATATATTAGTTTCACCTTTTAAGTTGCATTAGTGAAATAAATGAACTTTGCACGATATTCTAATTATTCGAGTTTCACCTGTAGGTAGACTAGTGTTTGTTTTTTTCAAGTGCCAATTCCCATGTTAATTATTTACTTTGTATTGTCCTTTATTACCTTTTACAAGATCTATTTGAGTAAAGCTGCATGTTTAGGCAAGACTCATTTACTGGGCCAGGCTGTGGCCGCTTGAAGATACCATGGGGGAATATATCGAAACTGGAACAGACAATTCTGGAGCAGATTTGCACAGCAACCAATCAGCTTCTTTGTCACATTTTCAAATCTTACCTGAGCAAACGGAAGAGAGATGCTGATTGGTTGCCATGGGCAACTGCTCCAGATTCTGCCTGCTCCAGTTTTGATAAATTCCCCCCCCGTATGCTTTCCAGAAAAAATTGGAAGACTCTTAATGCAAGGGGTTACACACACACACACACTATTTTTGTTTTCTGAAGAATCTAAGCTGTAATCCAAAGTTTTAGTTCTGCTTCCTGATTTGGTCATGGGGACTTTTACATACGGTGACTTATATAATAAATCAAACTAAATACATAAAACCTTTTGTGTGTGTGCACCATTCAGTTTATCATGGGTTCTAGCTGCAGTGGGTTGGGACAAATGTTTGAGCCAGCAGATAATATCCACTAACTAGACCTTAGGTTGCTGATCATTGTTTCTTATGGGCCAAGGGTGGCTGTACATGGGCATACCTCTCATTGATAATAACGGGAGATAAAATCTATATTTGTCATCAAAAACACCGCACTGCATAATAAGGCATAAAGGGAATGATTGCATGTAGGGAATATCCAGTATGTTAGAAAATCTCAGAGGATAACAAGAAGCACGTTAAAGCTTGGGCACATATAAATAACTCCAATTAATGCAGTTATAAATTAATTAAAATATAAATGTATTTTTAAAGTAATATTAAACTCTCTTTTTAATAATTCTTATTATCCATTAGTTGATCTGCGCTCAGTCCCCTCCAGTCTCCGCTAATGAAGAACAAACAGAGTGATTGGAACTGATCACACGATGCTTGTAAATAACTGAGGACATAATATTCAGATAAAGTGTCCCCAATTATGAATGAATTCTGAACGCTCTACATAACTCCCTGTTCATTCATGATAGTATCTGTTTACTATGTCTACAATCTCCTTGATTTATGAATGAACAGGAAGCCTCAGTACTGAGTAAGTCCTTTTCATTGAGTGCTGCGGCTGCAGAAAAAGAGATTGAGAACTTTGTCCTCCAATCTTTTTTTTTTTTTTATTTCAAAAGGGAAATATCAGGGGTGCAGGTGCTCTGCAAATGTAGTGTAAATGAATACTCCACTATAGAAAAGCCCCACCTTGTACCATGAAGGTATAGTGATAAGATAAGAGGTGAGAATAACGTCATATTTTTCTGCACTTTTCCTGCAAGTCACATGCTGAACACTGTTAGCAAACTACTCTCTGCCTGTGGTGGGAATGTGACAAACTTTCTCCACACCCAGGGCTACCAAGTAGCCATAATCAGTGTGAGAACTTCAGAGCAATAGCTCTTAGTATGCAAACCAATGACCCAAGTATGTATTATTCTCTTGTCAGTGATATGTCTCACTAAGCTGTACTATATATTTTTACCTTCTTATTTTTTAAAGGAGAACTATGAAGTGAGTGATTTCCACTCATCCTCATAGTTAGAGCTGACGTGTGACAAAGAAGCTGTCACAGGTCAGCTCTATCGATCGGGAAGTGAGCAGAAACATACAGCCGATCCGCTCACTTCCCGATCGTCTCCCTGCAGTGAGTGGTGACTGTGAGTCACCGCTCCCCGCAGGGATTCTCCCCTCTCCAATCCTCCAGCGCTGACTGGAGGAACGAACGGGGGGAGGGGCGGGCACAGCTGGATCTGCCTCTAGATAGGCAGAGCCAGCCGTCACTCACGCAGCTGGGTGGATCTCGACAGTATTGTTGGGATTTGTCCTGGCTGCGGAGCTCTCAGTATATCACGGGCAATAGGTCATCGGAGGATGCTATTATATGTCTTCCTGTGACCCTAAAGAGAACTATGGGGAAAAACACTTACCCCATAGTTCTCTTTTAAGCCACACTGCCCTGCACCTCTGGAAAGTATGAGCCCTACTTTGAGCTTTGTAAGCACCCAGATTGGGACACGCATAGACTGAGAGCAATCCTATCTTAGAGGTAACCTCAACCTCCTTCAAGGTACAGCAACTCACTGGATTGACACCACATCCATTGCATTTGGCTCTCATTGACGAGCATTGAATTTCATACTTTAAGGCCTTGCTTTGCATTGATACACATTTGTTTTATTAACATGTTGCATTGACGGGCAGGTTTTCTTCCTGTTTGCTGCTAGGGCTCAGAATTATATGTCAAATTGGTTAACGCTGAGCATCACTTGGGGTAACCATTTTAACGTACAATTCTGAGCCCAAGTAACAGAGTAAACATCAAATCAGCCAGGGCTTCTCAGGATGTTAATGCTGAGGGCTTATTCACACCAATGCCCTTTTTGCATGTACACAAGGTAGCCATTGTTTTAAATGGTACTAACTCACACCTGTGCAATGTGTGTTGGTCAAAAAAGTTTATTTCCATTTTTTTATGCTTCAATGAGCATTAAAGGGCCTAAGCCAAATGCGTTAAAATGCATTGAAACTCTTGTCAACGCACAAAAAGGCATGAACACATGAACAGAAATGCATGAATCAAGCCTAAGGGGGGCAAGTTTAAATAGACTTTGTCCTTCTAAGACTTTGCTGCTCTGTGAGACCATATCTATATCTCACAATGATGGATAATGCAGTTAAACGTATACATAGTTTTGTTTTTTTTCCAGTGTTCTAGTGATTTTCATAGCTGCATTTTATAGCTTTGGCACAAATGATCCATGTGACTTGGCAACTGCATGTTACTCTTTGACCAGCCTTTACAATGCTAGTGAAGAAGATTTTCCGGTTTTAGCTTGTTGAGTATGAATAGTAGCAGAAGCACAAGCGTTTGCTCTGTATTTCCTATCGGATCACTCAAGAACGCTAACAATATACAATGGTATGGTGTATATATATCTCAGATGTAAATGGATGGGTGCAGTTCTGAAAACGCCCTTCAGGTACCACCTAGATGCTACTGTTCCTGAATGACCACATTCCTTTCTTTTCCTAGCTACCTCTGACCTCCTTTTGCAGGTAGTTCTTGATCTTTTATCACAGTCGCTGTTTAGTCTGTAGCTGACTGAACTAGGAGAGATTTGTGTTCGTGTGCTGTTAACCTGTGTGTGTGGATTCGATATATACAAAGAGCTGCTGTTTTGCTCTGGCTTTTCTACTGCCAGCATGGAGCTCAGCGGAGGAGGCTTTTTCAGCATCCTGGAACAGAGTGTGCTGCTGTGAACAGATTCCTGGATTAATACTCTATCCTCTAGAGAGCAGAATGCACTATCTGGGCTTCTATGTTAGCTTGTGAGGTCATCATCTGCTTCTTACAGTGATCTCTCACATACATGGTTTGGTGACTTGGCAGTACACTTCCAGAGTGGCTCCTCCTGTTGCACACTTTCTTGAGTCTGTACTATACCAGCAGAAAACTGTTGTCATCTGCAGCCTGGACAATGCCACAAAAGAGCAAGACAGACATCAGGACTGTAAACGAATCTCATATCTAACCCTTATCAGATAGGAGGGAACATAATATAAGGAGCTATGTCCGATCCTGGGAAAGAGAAAGAGGAAGGGGAAGAGGCGCTGCCTGAAAGTACCCCATCCGTATGTACCACCATTACTTATTTTGATGTACAACCTATTAGATTGAAACGTTTTGTAGAAAACAAATGTTTTATAAGTATAACTATGGCAATTGTACATTGATTTATGTGCATATTAGTTTTTAGCTTTTTCATACTAACAGCCTGTAACATTCTCTTTTATTTTATATACATTACAGTAGAGCTGCAGCTAACGATTATTTTCAAAATCGATTAGTTAGCCAATTTATTGAGTTCGATTAATCGGATAAAAAATAAAATACATTTACAGAGAAGTACAACAAATCCCAGCAATAATATATTATACAGCGAAATGAAGAATACCACCAGCTATATAAGAATACAACAAATGCCAGCAATACATTATAGCTGGCGGTATTCTGCATTGCGCTGTATAATGTACTATTGCTGGGAAGCGTGAGGCGGGGAGGAGGTGCGTCGCACAGCGTGTGTGGAGCAGTGAACAGGGCCAACTAACCAGAAGCCGATTAATCGATGATTGAAAAAGTTGACAACTTTTTCAATAATCGATTATAATCGATTTATGTCGATTTTATTTGTTGCAGCCCTACATTACAGCCCCTTGGATCAGAGCAAATTGTTAGGACTATTTTATGTTTGTAGGACATTTTCCAGCTTGTTTATAGATTTGTTGCTTTGTAACATTTTTATTGCACATTCGTTGCAAACTCCATTCGCTACGATAATCTTAAGCAAATTGTAAAGCCAGTGAACTTTATTTTGAGATCACTGTTCCTCCTTGTCGATGCAGTTTGGTCATACATGCCATATTCTGGCAATATTTTTGAGACTGTTGCCGTTGACCCACTAAATAACTCTTCTGGGGTTTTTTTTTTGTTTTTTTTTGTCCTCATTGGAACTCTGTAAGTTCATCGAGCTTTATATATTAAAGTTCTACCTGGAATATTCCCTTTTGTAGTTGGTGCATACTGTTAGAAAACGCTGACATATGTCACCTTGTAGCCGTGTGTAAATTTGATTTATTTACCTAAATAGTTACAGTTTAAACTCTTTCATTTATTGATTCATTGTTTTATTTGCCATCTTATATATCTTTGATTATTGTTAGTCAAGGGTTAATCCTATTGCTAATACCCTAGAAAACATTTGTTTAGATATGTGACAGATCTATAGTGTTACATTGTAACTTTCACTTCCATTATGCACATGCTGTGTATGTTCCTAATCCTTTATCCTTATGACAATTGAATGAAACCCAAGTGATGTACAAAAAGTATACGTTATACAGCCAAGACAAGCCCATTGTGAAACATTACATTGAATGTAATGGCATAAACAGTAGCTCCCTTTTCCAGTATATTTTCAGAGAACAATAGAGAAGCTTTTTCTTTTTTTTTTTTGCTTTTTGTAATGGCCGTTTGTATGAAACTGTTTGACTTCCATTATTAATGACTAATTTCCTTGACTAGTGATTGTCAGATACACCACCATAGAGATAACCACAGGAAACTGGATTCTGGACTACTTTACCTCACTTTACAATTGTTTTACGTTTACATTAATTTTTTTATTTCAATAAAGTATTAGATGCGATATGCAGTCCAACTGCCAACTTAGGGAGCTCACACAGCAGTCTGACAACACCGCTGCTAATTGTGAGGCAGTGGCTTGGCTTTGTCAGCCTGCAACAGGAAGTGGTGTGGCTGGCAAGATCTCCAAGTAAGAAACTTTGCAACGAATGCTCGAAAACTGAATACAGTGAGGCATGATTGCAAACATTCCCAACAGGTGACAAGAACCTTTAAGGCCTCGTTCACACCAGATGCAGGCCCTATTTTGGCCAGAATGCATTGCCTCGAATTGCGGCCGGCTCACTTTTTTGTGGGGCAGGAGGGGACCTGGCGGTCCATTGAAGTGAATAGCAGCGTAGCCACATATTATGCCTACGGTCCGGTCCGAACAAAATGCTGCAGGCACTATTTTGTTGGGACCGGACCGCAGACCTAATGTGCCTTGCAATCCCGTGCGGCTGATCGCATTGCGGCCGGAGGGAATGGCTACGGTGCCATTCACTTCAATGGACTGTTACTCCCCCTCCTGCCCCACAATAAAAGTGAGCCTGCCGCAATGCGAGGCAGTGCGTTTTGGCCAGAATAGGGCCGGAACGCACTGCATCTGGTGTGCACGAGGCCTAAGATGACCACTATGAATCTGCAGGCATTTTTCTCTTGATAAAATCTGTGTTCGTTGTACCAAAAGAACACGAGAGGAGTTTTTGAGAGGCTACCACAAAGGAGACCACTGCTCTCTAAAACAAACATTGCTGTCCCTTTCAGGTTACTAAAGACCATTTGAATGTCCCACAGCTCTAGTTGAACAATGTTTTTGTTTTTTTTATAAGACAGTAGTTGAAAGATTTTGGTAAATATTCACAATGTTTTGTTTGTAGGAAACAGAACTATTAGCAGTATCAACACCTAGAGGCTACCTGTAAAGCTTGAGGCAGGGAGTTTGACCATCTCCAACTGCTTTGTTGCCTCAGAGCATGGATAGCTGTAATGACCAGTAAGTAGGATACAGTTCTAGACCACAGCTGCGAATGTTACCGTGTGCCTAGCAACAGTTCACTAACGCTGACCACAGGAATTCACCACTTTGGTGGGAGTGAGTCAGTATAGGTATAGAGTTTAAGGTTAACTCTGTAGTAGTATCTCAGGACTACATTACTTCATGTAGGCACTTACATGCAGTATAATGAACAAAAATAGTCCCACTCTTTGTAATAGCAATTTGGAGACTAAGATCCTCTTTTTACAATGCAATACTTCTCGCTTATTAATTAGACCGTAACAAAGTCTTTAATAACTACCTCACACAAAGTAAATATGCATGATAAAGGTACTTGCGGTTAGTAGCAACGTGCAGAGAGGAGGGGGTTTAGGGGGTAACTACAGATAGTCCCCCAGCATAGATTCCCTTGAGCTAGTAGTTTATCAGGGTGTGATCCCTCAGTAAAGTCATGCAAAGGTTAAGCTTGATTGAAGATGGCTGCCGTTGCTGTTGGGAGCGCAGCCTAGGGTTATAGAGGCTTAACACATGATCCCCATTCAGGATGGAGAGCAGCCCAGTAGTTATTATAACCTCTTTCCAGGATGGCAGAGTGGAGCAGTATTTATTTGAAATGTCTCTTTTCAGGATAAAGTGTGGAGGGTTAAAGTAGTATTAAATGCTGGTTTTTTTTACCGTAATGCATTCTGTGCATTAAAGCAAAAAACACCCAGCACTTTCCTAACACCCCTGTCCTCCTCACACTTACCTGCAGCCGCCTATCTCCTCCGCCACGACCGGGAAGATACTCTGGTTTCCCCGACCTTCCTGGTTGTGAGCAGGGTACTGGGGGCAGAGGTACATCCATGGCGATATTCCCGAGTGTGGCTCTGGGTTAATTTTCAGTACCATAAGCGGTAACCCCGAGCCACACTCGGGATTACAGTCTCTTACCTTGTCCATGATCCCCGCTGTGTCCTCCGTCTTCCGCTGAGTCAATCATGGCAGGCTTTGTATTAATGACTACAGGCTTTGTATTCATTAATGCAAAGCTTGACGTGATTGGCTCATCGCGGTATACTGTATGTAGCCGAAGCTACATACAGTATACCGTATCCTTCCGTATGTATCCGGCGTATAAGACGACGCCCGATTTTCGGGGGATGTTTTAAGGTCTCAAAACCCGTCTTATACGCCGGCAAATACGGTATCTTGCAATAGCTTCCAAACAATGCGGGACCAATGAATTACAAATTGTAACAGGTTGATAATATCAGAGAAGTGGTGGAAAAGGGAAAAGTTGACATTTAAAAGAAAAAAATCTTATACCTGTTTTCTATTGATCTTATAAGAAAGCCATGACGTTTGTTGCTGGATTTATAAGGAATCACAAAGATGAAATGAAATGCAAAGAGCTAAATGCATAGTTGAAATATACACGTTTATGGTTATATTTGTCAAAAAGATTTGCTTTTTTGTTTTCCAGTCTTGCAATTTGCCCAATTTTGACCCTGTACATCTATGATGATCACTCTTCTATGTGTTGATTCAGCTTTACAGCTTCCTGTGCCACCTTACTTCTCACTTGCATGTTTTAACTTTTATTTTAAGTTTCCGTGCAACAAATCCTGTTTGGGATTGTGTTTGCTCACTAGGTGCTGCTTCTAAGAAATGGACACTTTGTTCTATCCTCCATGTAGTGAAGAAAAACAAGAAATGTCTAACTGATGACTTTGACTTCTATATTATTCTTAAAATAACAGCCAAAAAGTGTGTGCAGGTCTTTCCAGTATGTCAAGTATCTTTGCTTCTTCCTGTTTTATTTTATATTACCCTCATTTGTTTATAACTGGGTACTTTTAATGTTGACAGTGTGGAGGGCCTTCCCTGTAGCCTTATGTACAGAGTTTATTGCTTTTGTAATATTTTTGGGGGTTCTTATGAGTTTATTTTCCTCTTTTTTCTTGTGACAAATCAACACTATTTGCCTGGATTTTGGAGAAAAGTCTTGCAGTAAATAATACTACCTTTTGTGGCTATGGCCTTGCACAGAATACATTGGTAACTGAAAATAAATAAATGGCTTTATTGTCCAGTAAAAAAGAATCTTTGTTTTGACATTGTGTTTTTCCTTGCTTGTAGAACAGTCCAGAAACCACGATGGCATCCCATCTGAAGTACATCTCTTTAAGCATCCTGGTGTTTCAGACTACCAGTCTTGTCCTAACTATGCGTTATTCCCGTACACTGAAGGAGGAGGGTCCACGATACTTGTCTTCTACTGCTGTAGTGGCTGCAGAGGTGTTGAAGATCGTAGCATGCATCTTTTTGGTCTACAAGGATAACAGTAAGTAGAAAACTCAGCCATCTTTTCAAACCACTTAGGGGCATGTTTATAAAGCATTGAGTTATAATTTCACCAAACATTCAATGATTAATTAATTACTGCAATAGAAAACGTGCACCTGGATGATTCACCTGCAAATGATGTTTGGTGAATCTTAAATTCACTGCTTTATGCATATGGCCCTTTTAGTATATGTATAGCCAAAATCTTTTATTTTATTTTATATAGCATAAAGAATGGTAAAATCCCTCCTGAGATGATTATTTGTTGTTGATGTCCCACTGGGAAGATTTTCCTTCTCTCCCTCTCAGCAACACTAAGTGAGAGGAAATCTCAACAAAATTAAGGAATTCCAATCTTAAACAGTTGTCACAGGAACTGGTGTCCCCATCAGAAGATTTACTTTCACCTCCTGTTCTGGTGACTACTAATGTTTTGCATTTTCTATCACTTTCTGTTTCAGTGACAATTATTCAAAACATACGTTTATTATGACCCTGCTAATCTGGTTGCCCATTTCAGTTCGCTTAGCTTCAGCCACCTTTCTTCGCAGCTGAAAGAGTTTTTAGACTCTCCTATGTTTGCGTGAGGGATTGATCATGCCCTTTCTTCCTTTTCTAAATACAAAACCCCAGGGTTAGATGGGTACCCTATAGAATAGTATGTCATGTGTAAGGATTGGTTAATCTCACATTTGTTGGCCCTATATATTGAGGTACTGGAGAAAATATTTTTTCCACCCTCAATGAGGTCAGCATTGACTGTAATGATCCCCAAGTCTAACCGAGCCTTTATACTGTGAGACCTTTAAGCCCATTTCAGTATGAATGTAGATGTTAAAATCCTGGTTGAAATTTAGCATGTTAATATTTATCCCCAACACTGTCAACTCAGACCATACGGGTTTATACCAGGTAGATCTACAAATATTAATATCCATAGGCTTTTTATCAACCTTCAAATGCCGCAGTTCTCTTTCTCCCCTAGAGCCATTTTGGATCTAGATACTCACAAAGCCTTTGATTCTAAAAACTGTCCCTAAATGACTCGGGTACTAAAAAAAACTTGGTTTTGCAACACATTATTAGAATAAAAACCCTATCTTGAATTACTTCGCCATCCAGCTGTAAAGCAGGCTTTGCTCTGGCCATCAAGCCTTTTGTAGAAATTACCATATTTCCCTTTGGCACCCTACTGCAAGGGAAACCCTCCAGTCTCTCCTGAACACAGGAGCAATGAAATGCAGATATTCCAGATTTAACAGAGTAAAACCAGATAAACACTCCTTGGCAAGCATGGCACCCGTATATTTTGTAAGTAAAAATGTTATATATAGGTAAATGAAAAAATAATTTTAGCCATTCAAGTCCCAGCCGCCACTTTAAAACAGAGCTGGGATACCTGCTATTTGTGCATGCCAGTGCCATTTTAAGAAGGTAGCTGGTCTTGATGGTTCCTGAGGGTCCCTTCTTGCACTAATGTTGAGATTGCAGGCTGTCTCTGGCAGCTGGGACCCAGCACTAAGTCCAGGAGCTGAAACAATTAGCTCCTGGGCTTCTGATACTTTTACAGCTCACTTCATAAATGTGCGACGTGGAAGCAAATGTATTATACGCTAGGGTAGATTATAAAGCCTAAAAGATTTCACATGTGGAGAGAAAAGCAATCACTTTGGGATTTTGGAAAGAAAAGACCTGGGGTATCAAGTGGTTAAAATGCATACTTATTACCTTGTAAACATTACACAAAATAGATAAAAGTTACCAAACTCTGTGGTGGATTCACTGAAACTGAAATTCAAACAGATATAAAAGGCAGAAATGAATGCAGCTAGGTAATCAATGATACATCATTAAAGGAGAACTATGAGGTGAGTGAAAACCACTCATCCTGATAGATCGAGCCGACGTGTGGCAATAAAACTGTCACACGTCGGCTCAATAGATCGGGGAGTGAGCGAACACATACCGTCACTCGCTCACTTCTCTATCATCTCCCTGCAGAGAGCAGTGACTTTCAGTCATGGCTCCCTGCAGGGATTCCCCCCCTCCCCGCTCCGATCCTCCAGCTCTGACTGGCAGAACGGGAGGGGGCGGGCACAGCTGGCTCTGCCTCTAGATAGGCAGAGCCAGCTGTCACTCACGCAGCTGAGTGGATCTCGACAGCAGTGTTGAGATCTGTCCCGCTGCGGCGGTCTCAGTATACCCCCGAGCTGTAGCTCGCGATATACTGAGCTTTATACTTTACAGTAGGACACTAGTTTATGTCCTCCCGTGACCCTTAAGAGAACTGTGGAGAAAAACACTTAGTTCCCTTTCAAGTGTATTATTTAAATGCAAGCAGTGGTAGTGCCTGAATTTGACTTGGTTTCAGCCTCTTGCAGTCCCTGTGCAACAAGGACCAGAGAGAGAGTGGGGGAAGCAGCACTAGTAGCAAGTGAGGTGTGCTGCAGTGTAAGAAGCATGCTGATAGGAGGAAAAATCAGAGCTACAGAGAAATTAGCTCATCATTCTGCTGATTCTCCTTTCACGGTCAAGTCACATGCTGGAAAAGGGACAAGACCTGTAAGTGAAGCTGCAGCAGGAGCAAACAAAGATCAGGTCCCTGTTCTAGACAGAGCTGTGTAAATCTCAGCAGTGGATGGACAGAATACAAATCATTTGGCAGCTACGCAGCTGCTACCTGACTTACAGGCCACATACTTAGTTCTGATCAGTGAATCATAAAGTTGGTTTGCTCTGCTGCCATAAAACTAGTATATGGCTCAAATGAGGTAATCCCTGCCCCGTGAAAGTCTAAGCCCTCGTTCACACCTGAACGTTTTGTAGCGCGTTCTACGCTCGACAAACGCTCTCCAAAACGCTCAAAAATATAAATCCCATTGTATTCAATGGTCTCGTTCCCACCTTGGCGTATTTCCGCCCGTCCCTAACGCGCTACAAAACGGCCCACGCCTGAAAAGGTACAGGTACTACTTTGGGCCGTTTTGTTGCGCGTTTCCATTGTGATACAGCCAAGTAGCCTTTGGAAACGCGCGACGGTCGCACAACTTTTTTACTGCGAATCGCGGTAAAAAAACGCGCAACAGACGCGCATATGCAATACGCCTAGGTGTGAACGAGACCTTATTGTGTGTGTTTTTTGCTTCATGTCAGTTCCCTGTAATACTGATAGACACAAACATCCATTTTGTGTTCAAGGCTTAGATCCTATTTGTTAAGCAAACATACACAAATAATTTGCCACGTAAGTAAAAGGCTGTTGACCTTCTCTGAATACATGATTAGCTGTTGTATTATATTTTCCCAGTGTAAACACCTATAATATAAACAAATGAGGATGGCCTTAGGCCCCATTCACACTCAGCGACACTAAGCTCGAGCGGGTCCGCGCAGCCGGGATAGCGCGACTGTTCGGGCGACCTTCACCGTCGGGCTGCATGCAAAAATAGAAAAAGAGTCCTGCACAAGCAACGTGCAACAGCGACGTGCAACAGCGACGTGCAATAGCGACGGGCGATATGGAGCTGTACAATAGAACAGCTCTATTGAAAATCATTGGACGGCGGCTTCTCGCGATATCACGGCAGAAATCGCGCGATTAAATGCCCAGTGTGATTGGGCACTTAGGGCTTGTTCACAGCAAGTGCGGAGCAGTTACAGAGCAGATGAAAACTGCATTCAATGTATTCCAATGGTATTTTGGGCTCTAGTTCACACCAGAGCGTTCAGTTCCAGAGCATGTGGAAAAACTGCAGCATGCCCTATTTTTTCGGACCAAACGCACCAAAACGCATGCAAACGCCCATTTTAGGCTAAAAAAAAAACGGCCCGGAAAGCGGCAAAACACACTGCATGTGCAGAAATTTATGCAGATCTGGTCCGGATTTGATGTGAATAAGCCCTTAGCCACCTCCCGTCCATTTCCGTTTCTGAACGGCTGAACGGGAGCCTTATAGGAGCGGAAGGACATCTTAAGATGTCCTTTCCCTCCCCCCCGCTCGTGTGCGGTGCCCAGCGCGCACATGAGTGGGGAAACTGTCAGAAATGTAAACAGCCAGCGATGGCTGTTTACATTCAAGCGATCGGGCGTCCGATCGCTCCTAGTAGTTGCGGGTGTACACCGCCTCCCCGCCGTCTCTGTCTCCGCCGCTGCCGGTCCCAAGATCAGCTGTGCCCGGTGCAGCTGGGATCGGCATGGCGACTCTGTCAGTGGAGATCAAAGGTAGGTCAGTACACGATCTCCCTTTTGATCTCCTCTCCGGTCCCTGAATGCAGGAAGTGATGTATATTACATCACTTTCGCATTCAGTGTCACTCACCGGCAACAGATGCCAGTGAGAAACTGCTGAAGCAGATTTCTGCTTCATCAGCTTCTCTGGGGGTCCCTAGGTGACATTAGGGGTCTTAGAGACCCCTGATGTCTCCATAAAGAGTACCTGTCATGTGAATTGGCTATCACATAGGGGGTTTCTTAGCCCCTATGTGATAGCAATAAAGTTAAGTGTAAAAAAAATAAAATAAAGATACTTAAAAAAAAGTCGCAAATACATTTTTTTTTTTAAATAACACAACATTTTTTTAAAGTCCCCCAAACCCCACATACACACGCAAAACATGCGTTGGGTGCGCCAATGTGCGAAAACAACTATTCCGCCTATTGTGCCACACATGTTACATATCGTCGCGAACGTCAGAGTACAAGCAATAATTTTAGGCCCATTAAAGGCGAACTATGGGGTTAGGGCTTCTCCTAAGGGTAACGGAAGAACACAAACTAGCGTCCTCCTGTCACCCAAAGCTCAGTATGCAGCTTGCGGTATACTGAGACGCCGCAGCTGAAACAGAGCCCGACAATTATGCCTGGATCCACCCAGCTGCGTGAGTGACAGCTTGCTCTGCCTATCTAGAGGCAGAGCCAGCTGTATCTGCGCCCTCCCCCGTCCGTTCCGCCAGTCAGCACTGGAGGATCGGACAGGGGAGGGGGGAATCCAGTCCCTCGCCTGTCATGGCTCTCTGCAGGGATAGGATCACGAAGTGAGCGAGCGCCGGTATGTGTTCGCTCACTTCCCGATCTACTGAGCCGACCTGTGACAGTTTAATTGTCACAGGTCGGCTAGAACTATGAGGATGGTTGAAAATCACTCACCTCATAGTTCTCCTTTTAATTACTGATAACACTAAACTGATGAGCGGTAAAAGCTTTTAAAGCGCGGTCGTGTGCACAATTTTAAGGCTTGACATGTTTTGGTGTCTATTTAGCCGACGTGACCCCATCTTTTATATTTTACCAAAAGGTGATAATAAATGTTTCATAACATTTCATAGGCAAACAGGTTTTTTTTCAGAATTAAGTGTACTTTTTTGCTATATAGTAAAAAATAAAAACCCGCAGTGGTGATTAAATACCACCAAAAGAAAGCTCTATGTGTCCCCAAAAATGGTATAAAATTAATTTCAGTACAGCGTTGCATGGCGGAATAAATGTCAGTCAGAGTACCGCAGCGCTGAATACTGAAAAATGGCCTGGCCAGGAAGGGGGGGTGTAACACCCCGGTCTTCAAGTGGTTAAACAAATTCTCCATAACAAAAAGCCTTCCCCCTTTGCTAGGCTGATAAAGGGAGCAGCATTGTTAGGCTGACAAAGTGGAAAGACTATACTCTGAAACATTATTTTCTTTTAGCTCTGCTATGTTAAAGACTAACCTGTATTTTCTAGCACTTTTTTGTTACTCTGCAATTGGCTTGTCTCTCCGATTGCAGCTATCGGGTGCCACTGTTTCTGGTCTTGGGTCCTTTAAAGCTCCTAAGATCTCAACGACTTTCCCCTTGCACCCACCTTTCCAACTCTTTCTGTACAGAGATTGGAAACACCATGATAAACTGTTTGCTCCCACAAAGTGCTTATTGGCCTTTTACCCTTTGGGGAGGATTTTGTGCAAAAGTGGCCTATTCCACTGTGAATCCGGCAGTGTCCCACCTTAAAAAAATAGTGCTTACTATTCTAGTAGAGGAGGCACCTTTTTTTTATTAATCTACATTTTATTTATTGAAAAAGCTTTTCTTTCCGACCAAAATATATAACGTAGAAAAACGTCTCCTTTTTAAAGGAAGACGCATGCAAAAAATAAATAAATCCCAAACTGTTAGCAGTGGTATAACCCACATGTTAGAGACTTCCTGTGTCCCTCAATGGAGTCAAAGAAAAGGAGTTACTCAGAGTATAAAAATCCTTTTCTTTAAAAGTTTTGGCTAGTGTAGAGGGAAGGGTTAAAGCCTGCACCAGTTTTTTTTTTTTTTTTTTCAGTCTCTGTACCATTGTGTAAATTTTCCTTCACTTCTTGACCCAGAGATGCAACAGTAAGTTCTCCTAAAATAAGAGAATCCCCTTGAAGTGTCACCATGAAAAGATTTCCCTTCATCACTTCTGAGCTTTTACATTTTGGATTTCCCCTCACTTTATGTTTAGGTGACAGTTGTCACCTGGTCATATAGCGGGACAAAGTTTCCCAATGGGGACACAAATGGCAAAAACATCTGACAGAAGGTCTAACCCTCCCCCAGTGTATCCAAAACGTTTTGCCTAAAGGTACACTTTAAGATTCCCTATCCTACAAAAAGAATTAATGATAGCTGCAGCAATTCAAATATAGTCCCTTTACACCACGGAAGAAACATTGTAAAAGATGTTTTTGTTCTAAAAGGCATGATATTTAGGACTTTAGAGAAGTCCAGAAAAGCTGTGCAAAGTGCAGTATTTTGTGACCGCCAATCATAATTTATCTTTGCGGATTTACCTGTGGATCTTTTTTATGTGCTTGATTCATCCCAAGATGTGACCGAACTCTACTCCTGCAAGATGTCTGGATATGATTTGGTGATGGGATCTGGCTTGCAGACACTGCAGTGTTCAAAAAATAAAGGAACCGGGTGGTCTTAACTGTGCCGTGAAAAAGTTAGTATGCTGTTTATAGCATTTCCTGTGTTTATCTTAGAGAACTCAGCCAGTTCTTCTCTTGGACTGTTGTAGAGATCTCGGCATTGGAGTGGTTAGGTTATTTAGCAAAAGACACTGGGCAGGGCTGGCACCTCTTAGTTAAAATACTGTCTGTTGTCAGCCCACAACAAGGCTTATGAACTGAGTGGATTTCTGGCAGATCATCGGGGGCTTGTCTGTACTTGCAGGGTCTTTTAATGGGATAAAACATGGGAAAATATGCGTGTATAACAGAGATGTATTGCATATGCGTGGCTCAGTGTACAGTTCCAAGAAGATTGCAAAGACATACAAAGGGGCTGATTTATAAATCTTTGTATGACACTACCAGCTATATGCTGAAAGGCAGATTCAAAAATAAAAACAGCAAGAAGTTTTCCTGGCACACTCACAAGCTAGCATGTAAAAAAACTGGATACACGTCACATTCCGTGTGCACCTTGCTGTAAAGCTGGTGACGAATTGATGAGTGCGTTTGTCGTCTGTTTTGCTTGACAGATTTAAAAATAAGTCCCATTAGTCCCTACTGCAATAAAAGTCTACCTACCAGGATTTTTTTTTTTCAACGTATAGTTCCACTTATTTGTTTGTTTTTTGGCCTTGATATCCTATTAACTGGTGTTAATAACATATGTACATGCCACCCATCTTTCATCAGGCATATTCAGTACAGTCTAACAAAGGCTATGTGTAAAGTGTAGTAACACATGACACACAAATCAAATCAGATATTCATTTGCAGGATGAGATCACATTAATCAATCTGATGGAAAAAACCTTTCTGAGTTGCTTGTATCATATGTTGATGTGGTTTTGTTTTGTAGGTTGTAGTCTACGAGCCTTGAACCGTGTCCTTCATGATGAAATAATTAATAAACCCATGGATACACTAAAGCTTGCCATACCTTCTGGGATCTACACCCTGCAAAATAACCTTCTGTATGTTGCACTGTCCAATCTTGATGCGGCAACTTATCAGGTAACCTCATTGTACAGCAATGTGTATATGTATTAGGTGCACCGAAACAAACCAAAATAAAAAAAATGTCAGGTCGAAACCGAAAATGTTTTTTATTTTAACTTTTTCAATTTTATAAACTTTTTAATATTTATTTTTATTTATTTTTTTATTAAATATTTTTATTTTTTACGTTACTTTTAGGGGATTCTGGGAATATATTAGGGGTCTAAACAGACCCCTGATTTTTCCCTTTTAAAATAGAAAAAGAGATTGAGGATTGAGTCCTCAATCTCTTGTTCTGCAGCCTGTTATAAATGAACAGGAATCCTCTGTACTGAGTGTTCCTGCTCATTCATAACATGAGAACATAGTATGTTTACTATGACCACAATCATGAATGAACAGGAGGTGATGTAGATCACTTCCCATTGATTCATAATTGAGGATATAGTAGTCATACTATGTCTCCAATTATTTACAAACACTCAGCGATCACTGAGTGTTTGCATTGGCTCTCCTTCCTAACACTCTGTCACAGTATGCTGAGCGAGCGGGGGAAGGAGGATAGCTCAGCCTCCTGTGACAGCGCTGGCTGTCTCCGCCCACATCTCTCTCCCAATCTGTGACAGGAGGCTGAGCGTTGTGGGAGGAGAGACACCGGCTGTTCACATCGCTCGGCCGCCTGTTCAAGTTTCCCTCCTCTCAGCTGGGACACAGAGCAGCGCCCAGCGCGGAGGAGAGAAAGAACGGACGCACCACTATATCGGCCAGAAAATTGCACTTTCGGCATTTTGCCAAAAGTGCCATTTGCGGCCTATATATCTCTGCATCCCTAATATATGTAGCCCTGTT